GAGCGCGCGCCGCGGCCGCCCGTCCCCGCGGCGCCTGCTTTCGAGAAGGCTCCCGGGCACGGGGAGATCCACAAAAACGGCCTGTAGCCACAGGCATTTTGAGCAAACAAACTGCTGTTCCTTTTAACAGCAAAATCGGGTATTTCATGGCATTCTTCCTACAAGGAAGCTACCATTTAACTTCCTCGCAGCTAAAGCTCCTGCGTAAAGAGCCAGCATGACAAATCTTAGCTCAACCATATCAGATAAGGATTAGTTCCAGATTAAGAGACTAAGAAAAAATTATGAACACTAGACAGAGTTGAGAAGGTGAAATGTAGTTTGTTTAAGAAACTATTACCTTCCTTTGTCATCTTTGCAATTAACAATGCTGGCATCTAGGGCTCCAATGAGCAGCAACGCACAGTTTTCATGATCGTTAATTCTGCAAAAGAAAAATATTTTTCAGAAAGGTAACAAGTCCACATCCTTTCTCGCTTTCCCACATTACTGGGAAACTGGTTCCCTGGTCATTTACAATTTACCTTTATTCCTCCACCTTAATGCTTTACTGATCATTCACCACTCTTCATTTACTCTACTACTGCATCTGCTACTAAGAATTTGAATCTCTACAGCCACGCTGATCCTCTAATTCACTGGGCATAAAGTGAAATGAGAATGCGGCAAAACCCTTCGGATTAAAGCCTTAGTGCTTAATACCTTAACACTCTTCACTATAGTCTAAATGCCACATGCACCTGAATCTGGAAAACAGTCACACACACCTAAAAAAGCTTAATTGTAGTTTTTGCAGTATCAAAGCCCACATCTGTTCCAATTCAAATCTTCAATACATTTACTTGATGAAGATACCCAGCCAACACTGCTTGAGTAATTTGGTTATGAGAAATTTGTCTGATTTCATTATGAAAATTAGCTGTATCTGTAACAGTACAGGACATTAATAGACAGTTACAGCCAAGTTGGTTTATCAACAGTCCTTTTGTATTCAACTTGCACGTGTTTTTAAATAGGCCTGAGAGTTTTATGCTCGTTTGAAAGATCTACTATCTACATATAGTAGATATATTTTTCCTAAGCAACCACTGGAAACTCAGATTTCAAACATTAGGTTTCAACCACAATGGATTTTATTTTGAGCACAGTAATAACAGTGCTTTTCAAATGTTCTTATCTCCCTATGTTTTATTATCGATAATTCTAAGTTTTGATACCAAATAAATTACTTGTCTGTTTTTCTAGTGACATTGGACTGTAGAAGGGAAAATAACTCCTATCATTATTTCTGGAATATCATGTTCATTCTTTTAGAAGAACAAAGAGTTCATAATTCAGTCATTTTAATGGTTGGCAGGAGATAGGAAGATTTTATTTGGTTCCACCTAGTTCTTAGGTGTTGGCTTAGGTGTTTTAATGAGCACGTTAGGTCCTACATACTGATGCAGCCTTCTATTCCTCGTAAAATGTATTTGCCATTGTTACACTGTGTAAAGTTGGGGTGTTGCTCTATTGGAATCCGTTCTGTACGAGTATGCACTGCAGGAACTGAACACAGATAGTGGCTGAAATGCATGCATGGAAGCAGGAAACGGTTCCCAACAGCCACCCCTTTTTGTCTTTCACAAGTAATGCCAGAACTCTGCCCGGGGAGTCAGCCTCTGTGGCCCATCAACCCCTTTGTCCAGGAGCTGGATGACATGCAGCAAACCTTCAGGACAAAGATTTGTGCAGGAGAGAAAGGAACCTTGCAGGGAACTCAGACTAGATAAAGTTTAGCTGAGGAGATCCTGGGCAAAACAGGGCCTGCACAGAACATCACTCCCACATGCCACAATCGTTTCAAAGTCAGTAGTTCATCCAAGAGCTTAAATTTATTAAATTTATGCAAAATACTCTTTATTTTAGCATTTTTTTCAGCAGAAGGATAAACGTGATTTTATCACCAGGTTTAAAATTATTTGTTCAAGCTATTACCTGAAATAAATATAGTTCTTTTCTTATCACACTGCTAACTTTTCCAGACATATGCTAATGCAATGTATGCATTTATTACTGCAAATTTCTACTTACACGGCACAGTGCAATGGAGAGAAGCTATTACCATAGAATTTGCGGAATAATTTTTGTTCCAATAGTACCTCTATGCAGTTTTCATGACCTACAAGAGATTAGACATTTCACAGCATTTTGCACAAAGGAAGGAATTAACCTAATTCACATTAGGCCTATATAGGTTAGAGTTCAACACTTGACATTCAAAGCTGAACACAACATGCATATAAGCTTTTATATGATAAAATTCTAAAAAATGGAATTTCTTTTTTTATGGCAGCCAGAATAGATTTAAGCTAATACTGGCACTTAGTGAAAAACAGCAAAGGAAAAAAAAAGGCTCTTTTTTTTTTTCGTGACTTTTTATATGTGGTCTCAAAGATCTCAAAAGATGGTCTTAAATAATGGTACTAAGGAGCTTTATCCTTATATTAAGCAGCAAATTCAGATAATCCACTTTCTAAAAACCCGTTCAGTTCAGACTATCTATGCAGATGGTCTCTTGCATCAACAGATAAGAGGCTGATGGCTCTGAAGGAGATTCCCAGCTCCACAAGACATCAGTGAGAATTTTATCACCAACTGCAGTAAAACCAAATAGCAGCAGATGAGCACAACAATTGCAATATTCCCCTAAGAAATGCAGAGTAATTGGGATGCGTTGCCGGATTTTCCCTGACTTTGGAACTGAAGGATACAAGTAGCGCTGTGAACTACAGAGACCAAAGAGAGGGGAAATAATGTGATTCCTCCATTTCCGGCTTGTCAAAGCGCAGGCTGCTTTTTTATCACGCTTCCCTAAAAGAGAAGCATATGAGCCTGGCAGAAATCCCTGGGGAAGAACTTACCATTGTAAGAAGCCCAGTGCAAGGGTGTATAACCATGATTATCCTTCAAACCGCAGTCTTCCTCCGAGAGGGCCATCTGCAGCAGCTCGCTCAGCCAGGTGGCATGGCCCCGAGCTGCCGCGAAGTGCAGGGGGGTTCTGCCTCTGCAGTCTCGACACAAAATAGACACTTCCTTCTCTAACAGCATCTGAACACACTCTTCATGCCCGGTCATAATCTGGTAACAAAGAAATAAGTGAAGAAGTCGACATAATTCAGGTTTATGCCTAAGAAACAGGGCATATGATTGCTGCCTGTGAACATGGAACAGGCTAACATGGATTCAGAAAGCAAAGGCGAAAGCTCCCTTGCTCCCGTGAGCATCTGTGACAACCTGCTGCACTGAAATATATTTGGTTCAGCCTTTCAAAGCCGCTGATTACTAGTCTATGGGAAAGGACTCTTCACTGAAGTGAGGCACAAGGGCCAGTAGGATTTTGAGAGGGAAAAAAACAGATAAACAAATGGCGAGATCTAGAAAATCTGCCTTAAAACCATGCCCAAGCATGAGGGAAGAACTGAGAAAAAAGAGGCAAGAATATCATTAGAAACAAACAAACAAAAAAGCTGTTTCAACAGCTGGTCAGCTTCTGCCAGATACCTCTGTACCAAACACAGAACATGGTTGGTATCATGGCCCTGTTCATGTAGTGGTATCAATACACAACAGATTTTTTATGCCATAGTTTTCATTACTGACCTATGTTGGACTCCTAAGTTGAACTGCTCCCTACAGATATCAGGGAGCTCTGTACAAGTATGGTATCTCTTACAACGACTTCACACTGACTAAGAAGCTGACTTCTAGAAAGGATTAGATGTACCCTGAGTTTCAACTGCCTCCAGATGAAACTTATTTGAACCATCCTCCCCCCCAAAAAATGAAAATAACTGCTTGACAGTTCCTTTAATCAAATGATTTTCAGAATTTCTAATATGTGCTCAGTTATAAGAATGATGATTGCTACAATAAAGCCTCTAGAGAGGAGAAAGACTGGGCTAATCAGCATTTGATCTAATTCATTAAATTGAATGTGAAATAAAGTCAAAGGCAGAGTATTACTGAGAACAGATCTGTCCCAATTTTCACCTCATTGATGGTGCTTGTTCATATTTCCCTTCATTCAGTATCCTTGGATTTACAAATAAAATGTAATCAGGGTAAAGCAAACCATTAAGAATCATAAAAAATAAATCACCCCTCGATGTAAAGCTGTGCATCCCAGGAGATCAGCTGCATCAACAGATGCTTCTTTTTCAAGTAACAAGGAAACAGCATCAATGTGCCCATATGCCACAGCAAGCATTAGTGGGGTCCTGGAGAACAAAAGCAATCACAGCTATAACATGACATGCTACTTGCAGAAACCCCCCAGGTCTCTCCAGCCCTACCCACTGTCCTATTCCTTTCACTGTACTTTGCACTCATCTACATAAAACACAAGCAAAGATGTTTTATATGAAATTATTTGTTTAATAGCTAACCACCGTGACCAAAATAGAAACAAACTCATTTTTAAGCAGTTAAGAACAGAGCAGCGTCATTCAAGACAATCTGTCTTCTTAATATCGTATGATTATCGTCACCCCCACTACACCAAAGCTTCCCCAAAGCCTCCTGAATAAATGGCCCTGCCAGCTACCACACTGTCAACTGCTTAAGGCACTTGTTTTGAAAACACTGTGCAATTGTCCAAAGGGGAAGAAGCACAGGAGGAAATTGTTCTAAAGCCCTATCTCCTTTTCTTTTTCCTAAAAGGGATCTATTCTATTTCTATTTTTAGATAAGACTAATGCCATTTAAAATACATGCATAAAGGGATATATATTCCAGATATCCAAAGTGAGCGTTTAAAATCATTTATATTTTCATTTCAAAAAAATACTTCATATTTATCTTTTGTATATCCTTTAATGAGAAGCAACACTTTTTGTAAGATCAGCTCAAATTTGAGGGTCACATTGAATAAATGTCCCACTTTGTCAACCCAATATGCCAAGTAAAACCTGAAATACCAATTTTTGGAAAGAAAGAGAGAAAGAGAGAAAGAGAGAGAGAGAGAGAAAGAAAGAAGGAGAGAGAGAAAGAGAGAAAGAAAGCAAGAAAGAGAGAGAGAAAGAGAGAAAGAAAGAGAGAAAGAAAGAGAGAAAGAAAGAGAGAAAGAAAGAGAGAAAGAGAGAGAGAGAAAGAAAGAGAGAGAGAGAGAGAGAGAGAGAGAGAGAGAGAGAGAGAGAGCGAAAGAAAGAAACCCTGCAGAAACATCCCAGGAGCTTGTTAGTTTTTATTGAATCTGGCCCTAAGTACCTAGGATGAATTGTTTAAAGTTTGAGGCAGAAGCTAGGATTAATGAATAATGTTTTCCACATGGCTTAGATCAACTGACCGTGTGCTTTGTAGTCTGTGCCAAGTTCTATAAGAAGTGCCGGAAATACAGTATTTCAACTAAATACCTTTTTTTTTTTCTTTAAGTGAGCAATCTGAGATGCTATTTGAATCACAGAGCTGAAAGAAAACCATCACAAAGGAAACTTACTGTCCTTTGGCGTCTGTCACATCAGGGTTGTCTGCAACTTCCAGCAACAACCGCAAACACGGCGTGTGGCCATTGATGACTAAAAAGAAACAACAAAAAAAACTAAGAGGGTGTCTTGCACCCAAACCAATACTTACAATAACAACTCAAACGTTCAATTTCAGATATTTATTACCCATGAATATGCAATTGGGAAAGTATCTGATTTTTTTTTTAAACAAGGTTGTTTAAAAATATGATTGTTTACAAATAATCATTCTCACCGTTTTCAAATAACTTGCACCAATGAACTTGTGAGCTCTTTTCTTCTGCACCACAGTAGTACAAAGACTGTTTTTTATTATTTTTACGTACAAAAATCACAAATGAGTAAAACAGACACTGCGATTTTCACCATGGAGAAGATTTCTGCTCAACCAGATAACATTTCAAAATCCTGCAGAGTGGGAAGACCAAGTTTCCTTTATGAGTTTTGGAAGCAAAAGGACAAGGCTCGTTAATTTTTCTGTGGACTATACAGGCAAATCCTTCAGTGTCACTATGTAGAAGCAAGCAACTATGAGAATGACAAAAATACATTTTTTTTGGTTTTTTTTTCCTCATTTTCTTCCTAATTTAACACTGGGTGTTACAGCTACTTCTCAAAACAGGGTCTGCTCATTAAAATGTCCCTTTGCTGCTGGGATACAGCTCTGAGTCACTAGTATTTGCAAGGTCAGACACTGGAAACCCACCCATGTTTCAGCTGGCTTCACATTTATGCAACTCATGGGAAGAACACAATGGCATCTTCGTAAATCAAACAAACAAAATCCCCCAAGCCCCTAAAAACGTAGATTTCTGTACTCAGTAGATACAGGCTGTGTTTTTATGAGAAGAGTCCTGCATTTGTACTGCCTCCACGCCATGAGCTGCTGCCAAACCTGGGTCACCGCATGGGTCACATCATTCTGGCAGATAAATGGTGCCACCTTCACAACTCCTATATCACTCATCCAAAAATAGCCTCAGTTGCGTGACCCAGAGAATATATCTTTACTTATTTACCACAAAGTAACACCATATATACATAACACACAAACAGTTCTGCAGGGCCGATGAGTCACTAGCATATGGAAAAAAATATCCGTTCTCTCTCCCAGCAGGAAGAAACATAACTGTTCACAGCAATGTCTGAAAAGGATTTTGGTAAGCGGGTTTTGGGACAGACAATCCCAGAAACTCTCGGGAGCGATGGCTGAGCATTAGAGACCCTGCGGGGAACACGAGTTTTGCCAACAAAATGACAATACCAGCACTAGGGAAGTATTTGCAATGGATTCCCCAAGCTAGAAAGAGGAAAGACTGGTGGTAATAAAATTATTCTGGGAACATTTAATTTAGGCTAAGAAAATTCTCCATATTATAGATTGAAAAGAAAGTCTATTTCCTGAGGGGAGTAGATAGAAGATGGAAAAAAATCACTAGGTGAATTATTCTCTAGTAAAGTTACAAATAGTTTTACTGTACACAGCTCTGCTGAATGCTGCAATCGGATCCATCCATTCAAGTCCCCCTAAGCATCAGGATCAGCAGCTGCACTTGAGGGCCTGGCGAATGGGTGTCTGGGGATGGGCACCCAGCACAGAGTCACAGACTCACAGAGGGGTTGAGGTTGGAAGGGGCCTCTAGAGATCATCCAGTCCAGCCCCTGCTCCATCAGGGACACCCAGAGCAGGGGCACAGGGTGGCAGCCAGGCGGGTTTGAAGATCTCTCTCTCCCTTGAGGTATTTGTATACACTGATCCCCTTCTCAGCCTTCTCCTCTCCAGGCTGAGCAGGCCCCTCTCGCTCAGTCTTTCCCCATACAACAGACGCTCCAGGCCCTCAAGGATCTTCGCTGCTCCAACGTCACGCACTGCTTGGTGCTTCTCTCCAGGGCACAGGGCACACGCGCGGGCTGTCCCCTCTGCGCGCATCACGGCCGCCCCTCACGGAATTATTGCAGCGGGAATTCCACTGGATGTCGCAAAATATTCCGCCCTAGCTCTTACGCTCCCATTGCTGCAGTGGCACCACACACACGGACCCAGAGGTGGCATCGTTCTTTGCTAAAACAAAGTGCTTTGTTAGGAAACAGCACAATAAAAATAATCGGATTGCAATTGGCTTTTCAGAATAGCTGGACACTAGCTAATTTTCATAAAATGCTATGGATTTTACTCCAGTGGAATGTTCTGAATGGGATATTAATGCATGTGTTTTCCTGAATTAGTTATATGTATTTTGGGGGAGGGGGGAAAAAAGAAAAAGGAGAAAAGAAAAAATATAAGAAGAAAAGAAGAAAAAAGAAATAAAGAAATAAAGAAAAAGAAATAAAAAAGAAAAAAAGAAAGAAGAAAGAAGAAAAGAAGAAGAAAAGAAGAAAAGAAGAAAAAAGAAAAAGAAAAGAAGAAAAAAGAAGAAACAGAAAGAAAAAAAAAGAAAAGGAAAAAGAAAACGCAGGGCACCGTCTTCTAAGAAGAAGCGAGATGCAGAGGGAACGCAAAGCTCTTCCGTCCGCCGCTGGGTTAGGTTTGCGACGCTTCGGAGCAGTTACCCTGCCACTAGACCTTGTGATAACTCCTATCAGATGCTTCTCCAGTGACAGATGATAAATGTATTTATCTCATGTTGAAAATCCTCTAAATTCATGACATTGGAAGCAACTTTTTCCTTTAAGGAGAGTTCAGATATTCCACCTGTCCATCCAGTATTTTCCTATCTGATCAACATACATGTTCTCAATTTGTTTACTCTTTTATGTCCTGAGAGGTTTCTTTTTGCTGCTACTTGTTGTTCTTTTTTAAATACATATCTGATCTATTTTGCTTCACTGCAGTTTTAAAGAACATTTTGCGCGTATCCCTGTAAGATTTTTTTTTCATCTGAAAAGCTGAAAGTATAGATTAGAAAAATCTGCAATGGACCTTGATACTAATATTACAAGGAATATACATCATCTACAGTGATGATGGCGATTAAAACAGACACTAACAAAAAGAACATAATAAGAATTTGTATGAATGTAAGAAATGTGCCTTCTTTTCAAAAACTCTACCCCCAGCCCATATTTTGAGTCACAGCTGTGACTTCGGTATTGCTTACTTTTCTCAGTCCTGCAGAATCCTCACAGTCACAGCTGTCACAATAAGAAACCTGCATCACTAGAACCAATTTCTTAAATAAATGAAAAATCATGGCACTAATGATGCAGACAAAGGCTGCAAGGCACAGTCTGGTCCATCAGACCCCAAGTCTCATTTGAAGTGAATGCAGCCAGGTTTTTAACCAACACAACTGCAGTTTTGTGATAGTACCAATCTTGATTTGAATTGACTAAACCAACAATTTTTAACAAGACAAGGATCAGCCGGATTTAAAATTGTTGATTTAAATTGTTAATCGCTAAAATTGTGTTTTTACAAAAAGCAAACACAACCTTCTCATCAATTCTGATCTCAGATTTCCAATTTGTACTCTTGGATTGCACACCTCTGCATTGCTACCCACGATAAATTAATTATGTGCTCAGTTCTGTTGCAAAATTTAAGCATCCATAAAGCTTTTTTTCTTTTTTTTAGTACGCTGTTAAGACTACTATCTAGATCTTCTTCAGTACTGCACATGAATTTCATATGCAATTTTTGACCTTGTGCTTTTGGGATGCATATATATGATCCCACTTAGAAAACTGATACCTTTAGAGAATATATGTTTTATTCTAAGCAAGAAGAAGAAACAGAGAAAAACAATTGTGTCCAGCCCTGAAAATAAATGCTGTCAAATAAAGTATTGATTTTAGTTCCCACTAGGGGACACTGCTATGCTGTGGAACAGTAAGTTGAAATATTGTCCTCTTTGATATCGTCGTATATTTATCAGACAGATACTCGCTAAATAATGGCAAATTTTACCTTTTCTGGTTAATTACTGAACATGCAGAACTCAGCACATGAGGAAGGCAAGAGTCCCAACCACACAAATCCATTAGCTAGCTCAGGAGGAGAATAATGGCGAAAGGGGAGTGAATATCTCTAGTGTTGCCATTGCAAAAGGTCGAATGTTTTGAACATGGACAATTTAATCACCAAGTGAAAGCCTACCTGCATTTTCAACCTTTCTTCTTTAGGAAAACCACTGAGGCAAACGTTCGCTCTTCCCCTGATCTTTTGGCCCAGGAACCACGAAGAGGAGGTAGGGGAATCATCACACATCACAACGAGGAGGTGGTAATGGAGAGGTAAGGTAAAGTAGAGGCAAGCAGGTAAGGGCAGAGCAATAGCAGTGTGGAAAAAATATGGGATTCTGTATGAGAGAGGACTCAACTGTGGGGACAGAGAGAAAACCAAGGAACTGAGAGGTAAGAGTTAACTCCAGGACCTCAGCAAGCAAGCTGTCCCCAACACACATCAAAATCTCCTTTCTCTCTTCAGAAGGACGAAGTTAACTAGCGTTAGTAGGCAGGTAAAGACAACTGCTCTCTCCTTGTGTGTGGCAGGCTTCATACTGCAAGAACAAACGAGCGGAAACTCACCCGAAGCGTGCAGGGGGGTCCTCTTGGTGACGTGGTCTTTTACAGTGACAGAAGCACCCTGGCTGATGAGAGCTTCCACACACTCCGCGTGTCCTTTAAATGCAGCCAAATCCAAAGCGGTGCGTCCCTTCTCATCCTTAATGTCCAGATCTACCAGAGATTGCAGAAGAACTTCCAAGGCTTGGTGATGACCGTTATAAGCCTAGAAATACAAAATCAGTCAGTAAGCGGAAAGGCAGAGCATACCCTCCGAGTCACAGTGAAGTATCTTACAAAGACTTTCACAAGAATGAGATCTGCCATTGATATCGCCTCTTAAACACTGTAGAAATGACACCGTTTTCTTGAGGCCTTTTTATTCTGTCCAAAACTCCCAGGCAAATATGGATTTTACCTACATTTACACCCTGGATGATACAAGTTGAAGCAACTAATTAAACGAGAAAACAAATAGAAACATAGAAGAACGAAACAGCTGCTGAACTTCAGGGTTAAGCGGCGTTGGCAGGAGCTTGCTCCTAGTGACCACAGTCGAAAGCTTGGACGAATGGGGGGCAGAACAGTGAGCAGAGGGCTGTTGCCCTACTGCCCCAAAAACCTGACTTGAGAAAGCAGAAAGGCAAAGACAAAAAAGAAGAGGAAAGGGTGATCAAGGCACACAGAACCCACGTCCAAGAAAAAAATGTGATGTAGTGGCCAGCTTTTCTGCCTCATAGCAGTTTTACTCAGAAAACAATCAATAACAAGCCAGGTTTTCACAAAACATATAGTAGTGTCTATCTTGAAGGTGCTAGGCAGACAGTATATCCTGCCTCCTCCTTGAAAGGATAGTAATGTTGACATCAGCCATGGTTTTGTGTCTTGGTATAAGTTTTTGGCTTCCTGGAAACGTGTGTAGACCCATTTGTGTGGCCATATTCACATGGACATGCTAGAACAGGGTAAGGATGGCTGCAGCCATGCAGATACAGAGAGGTTTTGAAACAAATGTCAGGGACACTTGCGAGTGTTTACAGTTAAAGTGTGAAAAATAATGATGTCTATCCTTTTTTTTTTTTCTGACTGTGCTTTTGGTGTCTGCATCTTCCTCTTTTCCTCTTACTCACATGTTAGTCAGTAAGAGCCAGGCAACTTCAACCAAATTTCATCAGTAATTCCAGTTCCAAAACTTTTTTTGTTACATCTAGGCCTATACCCCTTTCCCTGCTGCTTCAAAACAAGCCTATGATTAGACCTGCTTCCAAGACAGAGATTGAGGAATTTTTACAGGAGATAACAATCAAACACTATACACATCTCATACTTACAGCTAAATGCAAAGGACTTATTGTAGGTGCCGAATCAGACTCCTCAAACATATTGTTTGTTTTTTCCAGAAGCTGTAAAAAAAAAGAAAAAAAGAGACAGTTTTAAAGAATCTTTGCAAAGCACCAATTCTAATTGTGCAATAACGTGTGCTAAACAAAATAGTCAACTTATATTCCTCAATTTCTGCCCATGTTTAGCTTTTCTTTGGACAGAGACAGGTTAAGTTCTGATGGACTTGGTCAGCAGGCAAGGATATATTTTGTTCTCAGCTATCAGCAGTGAATATTGAAACACTCTGAGAAATAAATAGTTCATAACATTTCCTGTAAAATATTTTCAAGGATTTATTTTTTTTCCACGGGGTAAAGACATAATATTTGTTTCAAAGCTTGTCATTAACATCCTTATCCTGACTAATCAGTTCTGCTGAAATCAGAGGGAGAAGCATTTACGGAGCAGAGCACTCTGCTAAATTCACATTAGGAAAAGCACTGTTTCATGAACACACAGGCACTGCATACACAAGCCACACCTGTGGGACCATTCTGACCCATAATTTGCACTGGGAATAATTGTAAGAAAGAGAGCTGTTAGTCACTCACAGTCATTTTTGAATGATTTTATCAAAGTAGACCCTGCTTCTGTAATCACAGTCTTCCAAAACACATCCTTGAATGCTTATAACCACAAGCTTGCTAACGCACTTAACAAAATGCAGCATGTTTTCATATAATCCTTTTCATTTCAGTGAGCACCAAAGCATTTTGAGGCTTAACAACTGGGGCCGTTTTATGCGCTCAGCAGGAGGAAGCACAGATCTCGCTGAGACCAAAACCCCTGTCCCAGCAGAACATGGACCCTGGCAACTCATCCAGCTCAGGCTGCCAAGGGAATCAGTGCTCGGTGCTGCCAGCAGTGCTGGTGGTGCCACACGTGCGAGCGCAGCCCCGGCGCGCGCGGCCGCTCACTTCCCGACGTCCCAGAGGGCTGGGCTCCAAAAGCTTTCTGCCTGAAAACCAGCACTTTACAGAAAAATAAATAATGATAGCAGACTGAAAGAAAAGCAGAATAATGAACTACCTCGGACTTGTAGGGTTGTGGAGGCGACAAGTCAGTTCATACAGTTTTTTGGGTTTGTTTTTTTGACAGAATAAGGAGCCCGCTCAGCCCTGAGCTCTGCTGTGTGCCTTAATTATTAGTGTAACAATTCAGTCTTTATAGATCTACATTGAGGATAATCTTATGCAAAATCAAGCAGAACACCAGGCATTATTAACACTGCATAAGGTCTCACAGATCTCCTATTAAACAAGGATGTTAACATAAAGGATATGGAAAAAAACTAGGAGATGAAGCCATAATATTTTATATTTTGGGATCAGTGAAATGTTAGCACTGGCAAAGAAGAGTGTGTTAATGCAAATACCACTCATAAACAAGTGGATGTATTAACAGATAATATAAAGAGCCCCCCAGACAAACCCAAGCACCGGTCCTGCTCCGCTCGCGGCCCAGCGCGGCCGGCCCTCCAAGCCCGCACAGGCGCCCACGTCAGTCGCTTTTAATTACATCATTTGTTGAAATCTCAGCACCAACATCTTAATAGAGAAATCATTCTCTCAACCTGTCAGATGGCTCCAAAGGTTTTCCGGAGAAAGATGGATAATTGCTTTGCGAGTAGATTAAGAGAAAAATACGTTGGAATTTACCAGGCTCTTAAGGAACAAACTGTGGGATTTGGGAGTCCCTCACAAGAGGTATCTGGGCGCCATGAAGCCGCTAGGCCCGATGCAGACCAGGCTTAATGAGCTCAATGAGGTTGACGAGCTCACAACGCGGAGCGGTTCTGTCGCCGTGGGGCAGAACCAGGATTCTGATGGTGAACCCAGCAGCTCCCGGATCCACGGCCAGTTCCACTGTTATGTGGTTCTGCTGTTAATGAGCTAATAGCACGTACAAGGCTGCTGCTACAAACCACCTCCTCTCCCCTAGCTGTGTGAGAAGATGAATAACATGGTTCTCATGATTTTATTCTTACAGTAAGGGAATTTACTTGCTGATTGATTTTAATTCTGCAAGTGCAATAAACAATTAAATGGGGGAACACAGAGTTGTGCTTTTACCGAATTCTCCATTTCTCTGAGGTGCATGTGCCCTTAATGACTTTGGATATTTTACATGATTGCCCTTTTAGACTATAATATGCTAAAAAAAATCAGCTCTTGTTAAAAAGAAATAGCCTCATCAAGCACCTCTGTAATTTAAAACTGCGATAGGCAGAAAAGCAGATAATAATTTCAGCATGCATCACACCATTCATTTAAACCTACTTGTCCAAAAGGGAGATGCTAGAAGCAGCTTTGTGCAATAGATACTGTGATCACAAGGACAAGCTCAAATCCTAAAACAGAACAAACTCAACGATTCTGTGCCAGACATCACACGTCCCCATCTTCAGGAACACCAATTTATGGGATGTACAGTTAGTTCTGTCAAGGGTTTGCTCTAACTACCATTACATTTAATGTGATTTTTTTCATTGGGGGTTTAACTGCTTTAGTGAGTAAAAGAGTGTCTGTGCTCCACCCTCTATCTCCACCCTCTTGTTAATTACTTCAGTTATTTAAAGCAATTGTTAATTACTATTACTGTCACACTTAAGCTTGCTGCGGTTAACACTAACCATATAATGGCAAAACACTAAATTACGTAGGCATAAGCCAATAGCGGCCTTTTTAAAAAAAATCTACAGCAACTGTAAAACACGTGAAGTGCAAATAAAGACGCTTAAAAAAATAGCTGAACATTAGTTTTTTGCAATAATTATAAAACAATATAGCTTACAGCTCCTAAGGTTAATCAGAAGTGGCAATTAGTTACAATTTTCAGTGTTGCTCTCAGCACTGAACAAGAATGTTTTAACTAGGATGTCATCTCGGGCCTCACCTCTCCTGTTCAATCGCAATAGATAACTGTCTCTGTTCAGGGAAAACATAACCCTAATGGCTTCATTTAAACACAGGTTTTCCCAGCAAGGAACAAGGCCAAGACTCTCATCAGCTGGTTCAGATAAGATGGAACAGAGTAATAAATTAACCTTTACTATTTTATACAGAGGAAGAACATTTGTAGCCATTTATAATCTCAGAATTATTGACTTAATAGATGAAGTGCTACACATTACAGGCGGGGAAAGCAATCTATAAGCTCAGATTGGATCTGTAAATCTGTGACTACAAACAGTCTGACTAGTTGAACCTGATGCAGTCGGGGGTGATGAATCCCTTAAAAGCAGCTGGCATTTTCCTTTGGAAAGGCTGCCGGGGAGGCACACGCCTTCGCTGGTACCAACACCGCGATGGCACCTGCAGAAACGCAGCGTCCCCAGCTGCTTCCAGAGCTACCCGGCCCAACGCAGTGCCACGTGCCCCCATCCCATGCTCTTCGCACTGGAGTCAGCAGATTAGGAAGATTCAGATATTCTTCCCAAACTTGCCAGCATGCCTGGTATTGAAGGCAGCAGCACAAGCCCTTAGCTCCTTCCCAAACTAAGAGAAACCCTAAACCTTTCTCCTGAACTCCTCCAACAGCGTCGACACTGTCAGAAAGCAGCAGGTGTTAGTGCCTTGCTCCTCCACCTAAGAAAAATAACATGAAAAAACTATAAAAAAGAAAGACAAAATCTGTCAGAGTCAGCCTAGCCTCTAGACAAAGTTTTCACAAAGCCATCTAGTTTCCAAAATATAAAGTCCAAGCCAAAATGTAATGCTATAAACTAACAGCCTAATAGGCATCTATCTCCTATCGGTATTGTAACCAGTGAATACATATGGCATCACAATGCTGACCTCAAAAACCTAAAAAAAAATCCATGTATTGCTCTTCGGGAGACTCTAAGATTGCAAGAAATTTGGAATAACCCTAACTAATCTGCCAGCAACTAAGCTCCCAAATTCTTTTCTTGATGTGTTTTCTCCTCTGGTGCCACTAAAGTAAAATATTAAAAAAAAAAAAAAAAAAAAGACAGGAAGGGGCTATACAGCAGCTGGGTTCACGTGAAAGGGTTTGAGCAGCTCCCTGCTCGCAGACACTGAGCTGCAAGCACGGGGCTCTAGCCCGTAAAAGTTCCTTTTACACATCATTAGTGTAAAGTGTCATTAGTGTGAAGATAATGGCCTGGATTCCCAGGAGCGCTAACTCCTCCATGGGCCTCCCTGGGCCCGGGAAGCGCTGCCGTGTGCCCTCTCCATCTGATGCCTTTGGAGTTCAACCACGTTCCCCTCCCTCCCTCGGATGGATTAAGCCCTTCTCCAATTCAGTTCCCAGCAGCCGAGGGGCAAATTTAATTTGCTGATTGAGTAAAGAGCAGATTAAGAGAAAGATGAAACATAAATTATGACAGGCAAAAGATTTCTACCCAGACATTTAAATCACTTGCCCTGACACTGCACAGAATTTTTTTTTTTCCTTTCGTTCAATCAGCCCAAAGCACTTATTTGGCTTTCCAGATAGCATTTCCATGTGAAATTACAGCTTATTTTTTATTCTTTCCCAGTCAACTAAGATTTCACCATAAGAGCCTATTTGAATGGAACGCACAGATTTTTTTTAAACTGCTACAGTCGAGTGATGTTACCAGCTCTAAAACAGAGCTCATGATCTCGATTGATAACTGTGACTATGGACCCCGAAGAATTCGGTCCCAAGAATCTAAACTAACAGGAGGTTATTTTTAGAAGTCCAAAGCAGATGCAAGCGACTGGGTTTCCCTGCCTCGTAAGCCCCCGTGGCACCGCAGAGCCTTCAGGAACGACTCGCTGCACATGCAGAAAGATCTCAAGAACCTCCTTCCACTCCCTTTTAGCAACATCGCAGCATTCACTGCAGGACAACTACCTCGCCACCATCCCAGGGAAGCAAAGGCACCGCAAAGAAACCAAAACTGTGGGTTGAACATACAAACACCAACCTCACTTGTTTGAGTCAGGAGATACGACCTTTTTGCTCTTAATCTTTATTTCTCTTTGAGATGTCAGAGTTCCTACAATATTTTTTATTAGTGGTTCAGAGCTGGTATTTTTAAGCAAGACTCCTAAATTCATTTGACATTCATTCAATAATTCATTTAATCAGACTAATTTACCACTAGGAAAACAAACACACAAACAAAAAACAAAATACATTACTGTGAAGTCCAAGCACAAAGTTTCCTTTCCCATCTCCAAACATATTTATATTGAAATTAAGGCTGCTGGGCTCCTACTGAGTCTTAAAAACGGGTGCCCGAGGTAAACACTAAGAACAGCTAGAAATACTGTAAATCTTGTTCTCCTTTTAAATAGCACCAGAGAAAAGAGAACAAAAATGAAAAGGATTCCCAAGATGCTGCAAGAAATCCAGCCTTGCCCGCCCTGGACACAGGCAGCTGCATCTGTGCTGTGCACTAATGCCCAAGGGCAGCCTGGACTTCTAACGGGGCCCGGTCGTGCCTGGGCTTAAGCAAATTCCAGGGTCGCTCAGGAGGGACAAAGGACAAGGGACACCCTCGATCTGCTGCATCTCCATTGCTCTAGCTGCCAAAAAGACCAACAGGAGGCTTGAGGAATAAGACAGCATCTGATGACTTACTCCTCTCTCTGCTGATATGGAAAAGAAGGGGCTTAGAGATAAAAGCCCTGCCTAGAGGCAAGTAAAACTTAGCAGCTGCTTCCTTTAGCTCTGGATAACTACAGTAAAACAGGTCCCCGACTCACTGCTCAGGGTGAGTCACTCAGGGACACCCAGGTTGTCACTCAGGGACAACTCGCGCGGGAGCGATACGACACCGGCTTCTTCCAGGGGGCTGTAAGGATGATGAGCCTCTTCATCAGGCACCAACACTCTGTGGTACACATGATTTTTATATGCAGGAGATGAAGTGAGAAGCCTGCCAGCAAAATCCCCGTCCCCGTAAAATCTTCAGGTAGACACTCTAATACATGATGGGGATCCTCTGTATGCAACCAGCTAAAATTCAGGACAGTTTTCCTTCACAGCTGCACAGAAAATAGATGTATAATTTTAACTCTGATATAATACAGTTTTGGTTCCTATAGTCACAAATATGGGAGGATTAACATGTAAAAACACTGAATTTGTACCCAAACACAGCAGTTGCTGCATGGCAAGTCTCTGGCCCACAGTTTGCATTTCACAGAATCATAGAATGCTTAAGGTTGGAAGGGACCTCTATAGCCTTCTAAATTAAAGAATTTCAGCCTTCTAAATTAAAGAAAAACTTGGCTCCTTTGCCACGTGCAGCATTCCCAGTTCTTCTTTTTGCCTAACATGTTTAATGACAAGCCTTAAGAGCAGGTTGTTGTCTGTCATTGATGCGCCAGCAAATAGACCCGACAGGGGAAGAAGAGAGAGGGGACCTTGCTCTGTGCCCTCTCCGCACCCAGTGGCACACGGGAACTACGGCACGAAGGCTGAAAGAAAACCCCCCGAGGGAGACGCTGCTCCGCAGAGCTCTCTGTGCGCAGCTCCCGCAAGAACAGGGGACAGGGCACAGGTATTTTAAGCATCCTAAATATATGTGCTTGCAGGTGGCAGCTAAAGGGCTTAACACCGCACCTGAAACTCTGACCCAGGGCTGCCCTGGTCTGATCACAGCTCAGCATCTCCCGGCTCTTGTGACCCTGATGCAGGTCAACAGAGGATTTCTCTCATCCTCCAGATTTCAGTTGTCCTCCAGCTTCATGACACTTACATTACAACCCCCAAACTTCCTTCAGCCCATTCTACACATCCTGCAAACCCAATTTTTGGCCACAAATGTTTAACTTTCTGTGAGATGCAATTTCAAAGCACTCAGATGAAGGATTTTTTTTTAAAAAGCGAAACTTTTGTTGCGTGCAAGGTTAACGTTGATGGTGGTAAAATTATCTATGTTGCTACTGCTGTCTCAGAGGGAAAAAGGTACTGAGGGTACAGAGCAGACAGCACACATCACTCAAAAGCTATTTACTCTTTCGATATGCAAGTTAGTTAACATTCCATTTACAAAAGGCACAAGCACCGTCACGCACTGGGAACTCTCCTCTGTGACTGGCACATTCACAGGGAGCACATTAATCACAGTTAAAAATAGCCTGTGTCATTTTAAGCACGCAAAAGCTCCGCTCAAACACAACATGTAAGTGCAAGCTTGTTGAACGACGACGATTCCCAAGATCACCGTGTAGTTACGCTGTACCTGGCCGCTTGGATTTGCGCAGCGTCGCGCGGGCACGGCAGCGCCGCGGGGACACACGTCCTGAGCACACTCACCAGTTCCAAGCACTGCCGGTGCCCGTAGGCCGCAGCGTAGTGCACCGTGTTGTACCCTTCTTTGTCCTGGAGGGATGGGTTGGCATCATTTTGAAGCAGGAACTCTAGACACCTGGGAACAATGGTTTTTAGTTTAATGGGCAGCTCTCAATTTAGCTGAAAAATAAGGTCTTATTCTAGTTAATTTCCTGGCATTCATGTAAATAAATACATTTATTTCTCTGATGGAAATGCCTTCTTCAAAACTATGTATTTTTCAAGGGATCACTTCTGCTCTTAATGGCTTCTCTGGCTTCTTTTTTTACCCCTCTCACCTTGAAGAAATCAGCATTTTCTTATTATTGCTTTCTTCCAGAGCTAAAAATACACAGTGAACACAAGGCAGTCATATAATTAAAAAAAATAAAAAAGAGGAAAATTTAAAACAAGGAAATAATAAGCAGCTAGATGAAAACATCAATCTGAGCAAAGACATTGTGGAAGCAGTTGGTCAGCTTCTCTTTGCAGCAGACAAACCCAGTGCAAAGCATTAAAAGAAGTGAATGATACTGAAGAATTACTAAATTAGTAAAGCAACACATTTACGGTAAGGAAAGGGCAATAAGCAGAGAAGCAAAAACATTTAGGGAAATGGTCACAGACAAGAGCAAAAAGCTTTTTTCTTCAGGTTAGCCCTCCTTAATGCTAAGCGTTGTCTTTAGCAGAGCAAGGAATGAGCCAAACGGGGAGCAGAAGCTGCAGCCAAGGCGCTGGCGTTCTTCAGGAACGAAGTCTAACTGCTGCGTTCACGCCAAACTTACAATGCAGCTTCTTTTTCCTTCATCTCGCTGGCTCTTTCAAGTTCTTCAGCATTTTCATGGGAGTTACCTAAAATATTCTTTCTTCTTAACACAGAGGACAGAAAAACACAACTTATTTTCAAAATATCGCATCAGCGATCCTGATGAAGTCTGCCACCCAGCCCCAATCTTGCCTTTAGCTGACCTGCTCCAACCAACAGGCAAAATGACAAGGATAAATGGGTGCACTACCTGTGCCTGCAGCTAGTAAGTCTTTCCAACAAGGCAGATACCCAGAGCATGGCAGTTTTTCATCTGGCAAGTTAACATCAAAAAAATTGAAAACAAACAATCCAAACAAAACTCTGTAAAGCTCTTATTTCTACCCAAACCAGTTTGTTCATCACTTCTTACAATGTTTTTCCCAGGTCTTGCCTTTTGTTTCCTTTGCAAAGAGCAACCCAGGGGTACCACAGCTTGCTGCTTCCAACAGTAACCTGCAGTATTCCTCTCATGTTTGAGATATGGAGCTCCGGGAAGCTCTAGCTGCCTGCGATAACCTCGTCTATCTTGAATTTGCATTAGCTGTGTTGCTGGCTCTTCTCACTTGCTGTGAAATACTTGGCAAGCCTGCAAGGATATCCCGGACACATTCTTTACATTCTTCAAAGAGCTGAGGATATCTTAGCAGTCCTGCATGCCGGGACCAGTTTGGCAGCCCTGCATCCCAGCCAGATGAGCAGCTGACAGAGGATTACCATCTCTATCCAGACATTACTTGGCCACCAAGGTGACCACAGAGTACATACTTCCAAACTAGTGCAAATCACCACAGATTTGTGGCTTAAGAGGTTTGCAGAAGTACAATTTCCTAACTTGACTCACTATGCAGCATGCAAATTCCAGCATGGATTATGCACAGGGCCGAGCAGTATGTACACACCTTGTTTAATGTTCAGTTTCCCGTTTCTCATATGAAGATTTGACATTTTTCATGTGGTAAGTAGCAGTATGGTTTGTTCTACAAACCCAGGGTCTGTTCACTGTCTCATAAAGAACCTGTGCCTTTACCAGGATTTTAAATATCTCCCGTTAACAGGTGAAATGCAGTGCGGATCAGTGAAATCCCCCAAGTGTCTGAGTGCCTGAACAAGTGGTGATCTGCAGAAACAACAGGTACTTAGAAACCCCGGTCACCTAATGAAATTGCAGAAAGGGGCACACTCATTCTGGGCACCATAACAACAACAGCTACCAACACAGATGAAACAGTAGGTTGGCCTCTCAATTAATTCTTGTTACATCAAGAATTCTCCCTGCACATCAATTGTCCAAACCTGAAGTTAGAAATTGTAAATACATTTGGGGTATAAATTGCCTGAATTTGGGAGTTTGTCCCCATTCAGTAGAAAAAGAACAAAAAATCAAACCATGCTAACCTACCAAATGAGGCTTGTTTACATGCAGGAGCCCTACCTACAGGGAAGCAAAGACTGAAGAACACCACACCGAATCACAGTTGTTAGCACCAAAAGCAACAACTCCCTGGGTCAGGACAGAACTAGAAACATCCCAGGGCAAAAGCCTTCATATGACTGTACACTGCACTCCCTATGAGAGCTCCTCTCTGGTAGTGGCAAGCACAGGCGTTTGAGGATCCTGCTGCTCTCTACTCTGCACTGTTCAGGTTTGAAGGTGACAGGGAAGAAGCTTTGGTAATATTGCAGCAAACGATTCAGAAGCTAACGATGTTCTGCTGTGACAACCAAACTGTTACTGTGAGGTTATACAGAAGCCTTCCTGGAGGGGCTCTGAGGCAGTAGTATGCTGGGAAGGAGCCGTTAAGTCAAACCCTTCACCAGGCTTCACAATAGAAGTCATCAAAGAAAATAGTCCATCGGAGCTTGAAGTAAGGAGGCAGGGAAGTAAGAGAGGCTTGGGAAGACCTGAAATAAATACACGTGACTAAGAGTTTCAAGAGCGAACTAAGAGAATAATTGAGTCTGTTTTATATGGTAGAAATAACTGATTGCCAAAATACACAACAGACTGGGAATTAGAAATTGCACAGACCAACCACAGGACTTGTGAAAAAGGGCTAGAAGCGGGGATCAGGTGCAGAGCTAACGAGACCACCACCATGTTCTGTCCTCTCTGTCTTTAAAATCTCAAAAAAAGATTTGAGCGAGTGAACATTTTATGAGCTCCGCTAGTGGAGACACGGATGGGCAGATTATCCCATTTCTGCCAGCATGTCTGTCAGAAGGGCCAGCTACAGTCTGTTACACTCTGCTATGTCTGTTGCTACAGCCCATCCGGAAAAAGCTCTCCTGCTGCTGCCCCTTGTTCCCTCCCTTCCAAAGGAAGGGTAGAGCCCACGCAGAAAACTCTGTGATCTTCCTCTTGTGAGGAAGAGGAGAGGAAAAGAGAAGGGAAACTGTTGTGAGAACAGTTCAGTCGGAAAAGGTGGCAAGCGAACTACACAGCTGAAGTACCACCTTATCCAGGGACTGTGTTTTACAGCCAGAGCAACTCAGTACGGAGCGATGTGCACACCTGAGGGGAATCCTCTTGCTAGTGAGATTTTTTTTTTTGGTTCAAATGACACTGCAGCAGGCAGACAGTAGTTATGACGCTGATCTAGCAAAACATTTGTAATCAAGGAATGCAAATCAGTTTTCTTACTTTCGGTCCATGTCCGAAGCAGCAGCATAGTGCAAAGGGGTACGTCCCCAGTCATCCGTTTCATTGATGTTGGCGCCCGTTGTCACCAGCGTCTCAATACAGTGGAAATGACAATTTGCAGCTGCGTAGTGCAGAGGTGTCCTGGAATGAAAGTGCAATTTGTTATCTCAGATTTTCATACACAGCATGGCTGATAAAAATAAACTCGTACAGATTTCTAAGGGACATTACTCGGTCTCTCTGTTCTTACAAAGAAATGTTAAGTTACGCTAATTTAACAAAATACTGTGTCACTATGAGGTTCTGGTGCCCCTACAAGGGGAATACCGCTCCTGCCAAGCCTAGCAGCACAGGGAGCTGCAATCCATGGCTTGCAAACAACTTATTGCTGCTGAAAGGCCCTGTTGTTGCTCTGAATACACGTGACTGTCTTGCAGTAGAGAGGCAAAGCCCAGCGTCCCTCCCTCCCAGCGCATCATTCAGTTGGAATGTCTGCCCAAGAGGAGCATAGAAAAGTTGTATTTCTAAGCCCCTTGCAGACATCTCACACCTAATGCAACCTAATGCTAAGCACAGTAGCTGAGATGGGCTTCACTATCCCCTCCCTTACAGTTGCTTCTTTGCACACTCACACACACAAATTCACCTGTTTATGCAGAACTTTCGTAGTACTAATGCTTTTATTTTTCATTTTGTGCACATAACTGAGGCTTTAAAAGCTTCTTTGTCCATGGAACAGAATTCGAGTTAGCTGCAGCCTGATAGTCCACCTGCTATGCAGCATAACAGGGGACTGTGTCTCAGTCTTTAAGCTTGCCTCTGCTGAGGCTCGGCACCAGTTGCTTGGTTTGGAGAGCTTCACTCCCTGGCAGCTCCCCTCAGACAGTGAAACTGCTGTTAGGATTGAATGCCAAATTATCAGCTGCATTTCCAAAGGGCTGAAATTTGCAAAGGCTCCTTCTTTCAGCTCTGCAAAAGTTCTCATCCAATTCACATTTATTTGTCCCCTACAATAACTTACTTTTAATCTGGGGGAAGAAGTAAAATAAATAATCAGCCCAAAGACAGTTCACCTCTGAACCTGCTTCATTTAAGTATTTAAAAACCTGACATGCTCCAACAGTGGCTATTTAGAGGATAGGAATAAGAACCACCGATTGTCTAAACACCTCCTGAGCTTGCCATGCCATGAGTAAGTACCCCCGAGCACCACAGGATGGTAACCCAGCACGCCTGTAGCTGTTCCGGGGCGGTACAGCCGCAACGGCGATGGAGAGCTGTGCAGTGGCACGACCTGCCAGCAGAGGAGAGGCAGCGTGCTAAACCAAGTGATGCTCTTCAGTGGGTTCCAGCTCTCCTTGTATTCTAAGCTCACTCCAAAGTTTTGGGGAATGACTAGGCTCCCTCTTCAGACTACTTTGGCTTTGTCTAAAAACATATGGCGAAATGCTGAACAAATACTCTGGAGAAAACAGGGAATGAAATCTCTGCATCCATTCCTGGCATAGCAACGCTCATGCCAGCACTCCACATAGGTAGGAAAAAAACAAAAAAAAAGGCAACTACGAAGTGTATCAAATAGCAGCAATCCTTTCCATCAACATCCACACGCTGCCTTGGGCAGAAAAGGACAAGAAGCTAGGCAGTAAGAAGAGCAAGAAGGGAAAAATTAAGCCTGGCTATTTTTAAAACAGAAAACTCCAGAGGGTGAGCTTGGTTGTTAGGTGTTTAATGAAGTCTGCACCTGTCAGTTTGGCATGAAACTGCCACATCAGAGTTCTGCAGGGAAGGCCAAACTACTTTTCTATTTAGCATTTTTCATGGAACAAGTGATTTCCAGACTGAGGCTTTCTTGCTCATCTGCTATCTTATTTATTTATTAAATAAGCTTCACAATTTCCATACCTGCCACATTGGTCCTTCTTATTAAAATCGGCTCCACTACTTTGCAAGAGTTTTATACATTCAACATTACTGAAAAGAGAAGTAAAGAAAGAGCATGAACAAAACAGAAACTTAACATGTTGGCTGTCCCTCCCCGCTTCAAAAGAAATAAGGTTGTTCCACTCTTGGTCACGCAGAAAAAAAATCTGAATTCTCATCCACTCAGGTATTTCAAGAGGAGAAGTAAATATGATCTGAATTCAGAGTTCTTGGGGATTTCCAAAAGGTGCTGTACTCTAATGCTTTCCACACTGAGCTGGTATTTTATAACAGAACTTTAAAAGAAAATTGTTGCCAGCTTATAAAATGCCAATCTAATAACGAAGACCACCCCCATTCAGCAAAGCTTCAAAGAGTAAGCAGTTTGCTCAAATCCTGCAGTAAGATTTAATCACAACAATTAGCTTTACGTTTAGCTCACAAAGATTTAAGCATCTGTTAAAGTGCTTTGTTAAAGAATGGGCACAGATAGTTAAATTTGATTTTACATCAATATTGCATTTGCATCAGTAGGTGGGTTGGGCTCCGCCGCTTTGTATCTGTTGAAAGAATTAACCAAATTATAGCTTCTTCTTCATCTTTTTTTAAGCTCAGGTGATTCTTAATGGAAAATAAAACAGCTAAAGACTCGCATCTTTTGTAATTCAAGCAAATAAATGTATGAGAGCAAAGCAGAAAATGATGTAAAGCAGCCTAGCACTTTCCAAGACTCCTTTGTCATTCACAATGACAATGAATCACCTCTGCTCAGAACCGAAGGCCTCTCCC